TAAGAAATTCAAAATCAGAGAGCTCACATGTAGATGGATCTGGAACAAGCAGAGGAGGAGGAGGAGGAGAAATTCTATATGCCCAAACAAAAAATGTTTCGAATCCAAGTAATATATACTGGATTTATCAGAGAGTTCTTTCAAGTGCGTATTCTCCGCCATGAATCAACGAAAGCACCAAATTGTTATGTGTATAATTCGTATATGGTCAAGGAACAATTTCAACAAAACATCAATTGAAGAAGGAAGTATAATGCTGTGTGATTTATTTACGTATATGCATAACTGGTTGAAAATTCTGCCGTTCAAGTTAGCAGTAAAAACAGAGCATTACAATATAGTGAGAACCATGAACCAAGAAAATCAGTAAAGAGATAAGAGAATTCATCATCCGCCCCCTCTCTCTTTCCTCTAACAGAATCTATATATTAATTCCCCTCCCACACGAAATCGTGCAGCCTCAAATTAGTTATTTTAGTGCGCACACTCTTCCTCTTTTCATTTGCCACGTGTCCAATGCCTCCAGCTATGTCAATTGCCTCTTTTGCCCTTTATCATTTTCCTTCGTTACAGGGTAATCTGAAAACCAACAAATAACAATGTGCAACAAATTTATCTAAAAAACCGCAACCTACGCTTTGGTGAAAATAAAATTCACGATTTTATGATTAAATCTTTAAAAAAAACTAACAAAAATTAAAACAAAAGTAAAAATGAGGACTTGGTCAATTAAGGAATGTGCACACATAAAAGGGAATCAAGTTGATAAATAAAAAACTATATATATATATATATATATATATATATATATATATATTTAAAAGGAGAGATTTGTTTACTTCAAGAGTAACTTATGCTCTACATCAAATCTCAATTATTCAATCGTTGAATTTAAAGTTCTTGATACATAAATCAAATCTGTAATTCTTTTTAAAAAATTAAAAATCATTTGATACTTTGGTTCACTAATTCAAATTGATGGATAATTATAAAAATTTATTATCCATCAATTTAAATTAATAAAACAAAGTATCAAATAATTTTTAAATTTTAAAATATTATACCTCATTGTTTTCTCTTTTGTTTTATGTTCTTTGCCTTTTATTTTTTTCTTTATTGTTTTATGCTCTTTGTCCTCTTTGCTTCTATAGTGAAGAACCATAGTAGCAAAGATGGTGTCATGACAGTGGTGCCACAATGATTTATTGGTTCACCATATGGAAAATGATTAGGTTGTGGACAATATCGCAATGAACAAAAATTGTTTGAGATCAAAGAGAGAGGAGCTTCAAGAGGAAGGATTTTTTTGCTTCGAGAAATTCGTTCTTGAGTATGTTTACGAAATATGTGACAAAATTTGCTAACTAATAAAGTGCTTGTTAATAGATTGCTCGAGATGATAAATAACACCAACAGAACAGAGGGAAAGTTGCTAGTGAGATGTGAAAGGAGGGAGATTGGTGAGTATGGAAAGTGTGCTTGTGGGAGATGATTTAGTAGAGGATGTAGAAGAAAGGGAGAAATTATCAAAGAATTTTTTTAATTGTGTGTTTTAAAAGAGATGATTTAAGTGGATTTGTGAAAAATTGTATTAAAGTTCAACGGTAGGGGTTGACCCATGCTTAAGTAAGGTCAGGAGTTCAAATCTTACCTTGTGTATGCAGTTGTGTTAAATCTTGGAGCCTGGATACTCCAGGGACGAACGAAAAAAAAAGTGAATTTGTGAAAAATTATATTAATATTTATGTGAATTCAATTTCACTCTCTCAAGAGTGAATTTTTGTGAAATTTTCAACCAAAAAATGTATGAACAATACTATCTCTACATTATTATCTAAATAATTAGTTAGTAAAAAATAAAAATACAATTATCTAAATAATATATTTTTACATAAAAATATAATTATATATAATATATTTTTAAAATACTAATTTCTCTTTACTTTTCATTTAATTTTATTCTATCAAACAATCACAAATTTTATACTTTTTTTTCCTTATTTCTTATTAAATTAATTATTACCTACTCTCTTTTATACCCCTCAATTCTTCCCCTCCTTCAAACAAAGCATGAGGGGTGTGTTGGCTAAGAAAGAAAAAAAAATGAACTATTGATTTTAAAAGCTTCACATCCAACAGTTTAAAAATCCTTTAATATGTTTTTCTGTCTTGGGGTTGTGCTAACATGTTTATCGAAATAAAATCATGGCCTAATCACTACTTGTTTTAGTCTTATTATTGTAGCAATAAAATAAACTTTTTTTTGCTATTAAAAAAAAAGTGATATTTTTGAAAGTGTGAGTAGTTAGCTTCTTTGCAACATAAATTGAACGCTAGAGAGTATCAATGCATCTAGATTATTCTATTTTTCTTCTTATTAGATATTTGATATAATTACATTTATGACATTTTTTTGTCAATATATATTATTTTTTTTGACAATTGTCAATATGTATTAATCAAAATTGAGTTCAATTCTCATGCCTGCATGGAAATTGTAAAAAACAAATTGTTAATTAATTAAATTTCAAATTTATTATGGTTTTTAAGATAATAATTTATAAGTAAAATTGTTGTAAAAGATTTATAATTGAATAGAAAAATAAATTTTTTTTGCATTATCTATTCATTCTAATTGAATTCTTTAAAAGTAATGTTAAATTATATTTTTGGTCTGTTTAATTTTTAATCTATAACGTTGGTATATATTTTAATTTAGCAATTTCGGTTATTCAATTTTAATTTGTCTTAATGTTGATCCAATTGTTAAATATACATACATTGACTATTTAAATCAAGAAAATTGTTTACGCAGAAAGTGAGAACTTAATTGTATTTAATATTTTCAATTAATTACATGCATGTAACATAATAACCATCATCCTACAAATACAAATTATATATTGATACATTACACATGTTTAAATTTAACGTTATTAAAATTTTATTTTTTTAAAATTATAAACTAAAGTTACATAATTAAATTAGAGTCACCAACATTCTATATAAAAAATTAAAGAGGAACGAAAATATAATTTATCCCAAAATTAACACTCCACCAACTAATTTAAATATCGGGTTGGGTCATAGGTCCAGTGGACCGATTTTTTTGATTAACGCAGGGTTGAATCTTGGAGTACAAAAACCCAGGTACGAGGCTGAACTAGATATAGTGATATATATGTTTTCACCGAAAACAATATGAAAAAATAAAAGGAGAAGATATACCAACATTGAAGCAGCACTATGTTCATCTTCCTCGTCCACTAGACACACAATTCCTGTCTTAATTTTACTCAACATGATAACATGAGATCAGGTAATCAATACCCTTCTTGTTAATGTTTTTTGTTCATGTTCACGTTACAACATAAATGGTTCTGTGCAATTTTTTATGTTTTCAAGCTTTAACCTTTCTTTGTGGGGTAATGATGTTTACATGGCACTAGCAGGTTTTATGGGTACATAGCTTTTATTGTGGAAAAAGCATGGCTTGTTTTTCTTTACCTTGCAATACTGGGTCATTTGTTACCCCAACTGTGGCTCAAAGAAGATATTTTGGGGTGTGTGGAGGTTTGTGCACTAGCTCATTTGTTTTAACTTCTCTAGGGTTTAACCAATGCTACAACTTTCAGCATGAATTGGTTTGGAGCAATAATGATGGGTATTGTGGTAGTAAAAGTAGAATTCCCTCATTGAGGGTTCCTTATTGTTGCAAGACTCCACATGGTGTTTCAAGTAACAATGAAATTGAGCCACTTGTGAGTAGAAGCAAGGGTGAGAGAAAGACTCATTTTGGTAAGGGTGGAAGTAATAGGATGAAGAAGAGGTTTTCATTGAGATTGCGGCCGAGGTTACGGTTACTGGCCATGAGAATGAAAAGGGCTTCCATTGAGTCCATTTTGAATGAGGTGAGGATCTTTATTCGTAAGAACATTAGAGCAGTGGCATTTTCTGCCTCGCTTTCTGTTGTGTTCAGCCTTTGTTTCCTGTTTCTGAAATTGACTGCACTCCCCCCTCCAAAATCTGTTCCATATTCTGACTTGATCACCAGCCTTCAGAATGGATATGTTGAAAAAGTTTTGGTTGAAGAGGGGTCACGGCGCATATATTACAATATGAAGTGCCAGATTATTGAAAATGATCAGGTTTCTGGTGAAGAATCTGAGGTGAAAGATGTTTCAATTGATAAGAATGTTGATAAGATTGGGAGTGAGGGTACTTCTAGAGCTGCCCAAACTCCGGTGGTGAATATACTGAAGAAATTCTCTAAGCCTCGAGCTTCAATCCCTGAGTGGCAGTATTCCACAAGAAAAATAGATCACGATGAAAAGTTCCTTGTTAGTTTGATGAGAGAAAAGGGGGTTACATATAGCTCTGCCCCTCAATCTGTGTTGATGTCAATGAGGAGTACTTTGATCACTGTAATAACACTGTGGATACCTTTAATTCCATTGATGTGGCTTTTATATCGTCAACTTTCTGCTGCTAATAGTCCTGCAAGGAAACAGAGACCTAATAGTCAGACAGTTGGATTTGATGATGTGGAAGGTGTTGATTCTGCAAAAGTAGAGCTCATGGAGGTAATTATCTCATACTACTGATGCTAAACTGTTAATGATAATTATGTAACATAAAAGTGATTTTTGTTGTTTCTTAATTTGGTTAAGAGTATGTTTGGATAAAAGTTAGAAGTGTTTCTTAGAACTTTTCTACTCAAAGATACTCTTTATTTTCAAAAGAAAAACTTTTAGAAACACTTTTAAACTTGTATCCAAACAGACTCTACTGCTGAAGTGATGTGATTACTTTTTCCTCCTCTGGGGAAATTTCCTGTTGTATTCGTGACTAAGCACGAGTTGAGTGTGCAGATAAATCCATTGGGACTTAATTTTAGAAAAGATTCAGAATGTGTGGTGCACTAGCACTAATTGGTTGTTTGTGCTATAGTAATATTGGAATGTGAATTGGTTTGGCTGTCCTTTTCTTTTCCTTTTGAATTCTCAAAATCACACGGCTGAAAGATTGCTATCTTTAGTTTATAACGTAGCAAGAAGAACTATGTGGCTAACTGACTTGGCAGTATTATAAACCGAATAAGTGTTGGTAGATAGTAGTGATTTACTAGAAATGATAAGCATCTTTTCTTTACTATTTCATTTTGCATCTCTATTAATTTATCACTTGGAAGTTGGAATTAGTAGTTTGAATAATAGTACAGTATTTAGCTTATGACATGGTATAAAAGGCTTAAAACCTTTATTATCTATCAAGGGCTATGAAAGTGCCACTAATTTCATGGTCTAAAATTTGAGATGTTACAGTGTATAGTATTTTTAATCAAATTCAGAATTTATTATCTCGGAATATATATTATGTTCAAATCAATTTGACTGTCCAGATTAAGAAAACTTCGATCATGTGAAAATCAATTTTTTTTTTTGTAGAAAACAAAAATCATTTATTACTAAGGTTAATTCTGTTATGCTCTTAGGTTAGATCTTTTCAATCATGAAATGTAAGCAGTAATGCATTTCTCTGCATAGTTTTTCTTTGATTTATTATTTAAATATTCTAGGATTAGCTGCTAATACTCCTAGCTGTTTCCACATGAGCATATACTAAAGCAGGGTTGGATAATTAGGACATTGAAACAAGGTTTACCTTCCAATTAGATATGCTTAAAAGTTGGTATCTAAAATTACTCTTGCCTCAAAGTTATGTGTGTAACTATGGCAATTAGATGCATTATGTTGAAAGTAAACCCGATGACATCAAAATGTTGTAGTTTGGAATGTTATATCATATTTGTATGCGAAGTATGAGTTGAATAATAAGGACAGGTATTAGATAGTTAGTCCTTTTGTTAGTTTGTTAGACTAGTCAGTTAGTAAGTTACAAGGGGTTGGTAAGATAAATAGGGAAATCGGATTTAGAGGGATTCATTCAGTGAATTTGATAGTTTTTTGTGTGAAAGGATAAATTCTTTGTGAAAGGGAAAAATCCATGGAGGAGAGACCTCTCTTATTCTCAATCTTTTAAAAAATTGTTCCTTTCTTCTCATTTGTTTCTATTAATTTTCCATTTCTTCTCTCTTGGTTTGTAACATATTCACCGATTAATATCCAATGTAGATTGCTTTGAGATATTTGACCATTTTGTTGAAAAATATTAGAGAGAGGAAATATTGGTTTGGAAGAGTTAGGCTGAGAGAGATAGAGAGACAAACAATGTGAAAAGGTTTAGGACGAAGCAAGGAAGAATGTTACATCATATTCAGTCAATTAATTGGCCCTCAATCAAGATCCAATGATTGAATATGAAGGACTAAATTGTTACAATTGGAAAATGAATTTTCAATTATGCTAGAGTGGATTAAAGTACTTTTTTAACCCAATGCCTTTATGTATTGATTATTTATAATTTTTGTAGAATTTTTCTTGTTGATGCTTAAGCAACTTTATTGTGTTATTGTTATTGACACAGTCCCTTTTTTGTAGATAGTTTCATGTCTGCAAGGGGATATAAATTACCAAAAGCTAGGGGCAAAGTTACCTAGAGGTGTGTTGCTGGTGGGTCCTCCTGGAACTGGGAAGACACTACTTGCACGTGCAGTGGCAGGGGAAGCAGGTGTACCCTTTTTCACTGTATCTGCCAGTGAGTTTGTGGAATTGTTTGTTGGAAGAGGGGCAGCTAGAATCAGAGACCTTTTCAATGCAGCAAGGAAATTTGCACCATCAATCATATTCATTGATGAACTTGATGCAGTTGGTGGCAGGCGCGGTAGAAGTTTTAATGATGAACGTGACCAGACGTTAAACCAGGCAAGTTTTCTTAATACATTGTATGTCTTTAGCAGAATCAAATGATGAAAATTGGTTATGGCTCACTACTGAATACTCAGCATTCTCATATTCCGTATGTTTTGAGTAACGTGTGGTTGGAAGATAATGTTCAAAAGTCCAGTTTCTTTAATTATTTCACAGTATTAGGGTCTGTTTGGATTTGTTTTTTTATAAAACACTTCTAGGAGAAAAAAATGGAAGGAAAATTGATATAAACTTCTCTATAAGTTAAAATTAGCTTATGCACAGCATAAGTTAAAATTAAGATTTTGGAGAAATTAATAGGAGAGAATTTTTACAAATTAGTTTATGCATAAATAGTTTTAGCTTTTATGGAGAAGATTATTTCATTTTTCCTTTATATTTTTCTCTCCTAGAAGTGTTTCTAAAAAAATTTACCCTAACAGACCCTTAGTATATTAATATGTAATTTCTACATGAAAGACAAATACTTCATATGTTAATTGGAATTTTAAGTATGAAAGTTACAAAATTTTCATATGCACTCAATGGTTGGTACATATCTTTAAGCTGAACTTTAAAGTATTTTCTGTCTATGTAGTTGCTGACAGAAATGGATGGATTTGAATCAGAGATGAGAGTGGTTGTCATTGCAGCAACTAACCGGCCAGAAGCCTTGGATCAAGCTCTATGTCGCCCTGGTCGTTTCTCAAGAAAAGTATATGTTGGTGAACCTGATGAAGTTGGAAGGAGAAAGATACTGGCCGTGCATCTAAGAGGAGTTCCCTTGGAGGAGGACACTAACATCATTTGCCATTTAATTGCTTCTCTGACTACTGGTTTTGTAGGTGCTGATCTGGCAAATGTTGTCAATGAAGCTGCTTTGCTTGCTGCTCGTAGAGGTAAATACCGACTTACAAGTTTGATATTTGATGTGATTGGTTCAACTTATTAGAGAAATAATATCATATTTTTGTTAGCCACCTATTATCTTATTCCTTATTCTTCTCTCTTCTTTCATTGACAACTTCATTGAGTTTGCTTGTGCTTAAATAATTCATGTTTACACTTTCAAGTCTGACAACTTTAGTAGTAGAGACCAATAAGTCATGTGTCAATATTTGGATTTTGCAGGTTGTGAAACTGTGGCAAGGGAAGATATAATGGAAGCTATTGAAAGAGCAAAATTTGGAATCAATGATAAACAATTTAGGACTAGTAAAATAAGCAAGGAGTTAACTAAGCTATTCCCTTGGATGCCATCATTGATGGGAAGAAGTGATAGGAGACAGGATGACTTGCAAGGACCATTAGGTTATCAATCACTGAGTTCATGAATTTTCTTGTTGAAAAAATTGCTTATATTTTTCCTCAATATTTGTTCATTTCATTGTTACCCTCTAGTAGATTTTTATCAAAGTTCATCAAAGATTGCTTATAATAGGTAAAAAAAAATGCCACTATCAAAGTTCATTATACTTTTCTAGGGACAGGATAAGAGATTTTTAACACCCAAGCACTCGTTGTACAATACCACTAGCAGTCCCTTACAAAGAAAGAATATAAAATAAAAAAGATTAAATGTGTTTTTAATTCTTATAAAGAAGGAAATGTTTACTTTGAGTCTAAAAAAAAATTGTTTCCTTTTAGTTCCTCCTTTAAGAAAATGAGTTGGATGTGGTCTTTATCCTTCCCTTTGTTTTCCGTAAGTGGATCGCATTATAAATTTTCAAAAATGAGATTAAAAGGAATGATTTTAACTTAGAGATTAAAAGTGATCATTTTTTTTATTTGTAGGAACTCAACATATTTAATTTAATAATAAAAATTCATGGCTCGGCTTTCCACTGTGAAACATTAAATAGGTTCTCTCCACTAATGTATTGAATAAGTTCTCATCAGCAAGAGTTTGACCATCACTACCTCTTTGGTTGTTCTTCAATATTTTACCTTAAGCATGTTTGAAGACAAGTTTAAAAGAGTGTTTAAGAGTTTTTTTTATCAAAAATTTTTTATTAGAAAAGTTTTCAAAAAATGCTCTAATAATACCCCAATAAACTCCTTTTACTTATTTATATAATGTAGTGGATTTTCTTATCATTTGATTCAAGGTCCTTGACATAAGCCTTGTTGTATTCGCTGTCATGGAGGTAGTATTCCCACCCATGATATTTAGTTACACATCGTTCTTATGCATCTCATTTCATATCACAATTTTAATTCATAATTGGTCTCCCGGATCAGTGAACCAGAGTAGTGCAGCAACTGCAACGAAATTTAAGTAATATGGTAGTTGCAAAAATAAATAAGAAAAATAAGATTTAAATATATTTATAAATTCTTGTGAATATGATAAATTTTGGTTTTTAATTCTTTAATTTATTTTTTGATTTAGTTCTCATAATTTTTTTTAAGGTTTAAGTATGTTAAAGATATTTGTAAACATAATGTTTCTGTAAATAAATTATCCTTGCGATATTCGTCATTACATGTTTTGGTCCTTGTGATGAATTATCTGTCTGCAACACTTTTTTGTTTTGTCCTAATCAAATATAATGACTTTTTTAAGTCTTTCCAAATATATAACCTTTTGTTTTTAGTCTATGTTTTTGTCGATCTTGCAAACTACAACAGTTTGTGTTTGGTCCTACCGTCGCAAGAATTAAAAAGAGTTTTTTTTTTTTCATAACTTAAACCAAAAATTGTCATATTTATTGACATAAAGCATATTTGTTTTTAAAAATCCTAATATCACTTAGTGATATGGCATTTATTTAAATATTTAATGTCAACAATCAGTTTGAATTTTTTTTATTCATAAAATTCTAGATTAGAGTAAGACATGGTTAGAGTTAGTCATCAACGTTTTTGTAGACTTTCAATAGAATTATGAATCGCATATCTCATTTCAGTGTAAATTTACATAGGAGGATATAAAACACAAAAGAAATAAAATTTAATCTCAAGTTCTGACCAGTAGAAGTGAAGAAATTTTAAGTCATATTACCCTTGTGAGACTATTATAATCCATTTGAAATGATATAGAATGACAAATAAATAATTATAGGAAATGTTGATAAGGATCATTTCATTTTCAATTTTTTTTAAAAAATATTAGGACCTAATCAAACTTTTTTATAGGACGAAAATTAAAATTCATTATATTGTTGTATTAACAAACTTATTAAACCAAGACATAATCTAGAGTCCTTGATTTGATGGTAGTAAGAAAATAATACACATTTATGTAAAAAAAGAGAAGAAAATAATACACTTCAATTAATTTATTATAACCTACTAGTTGCATACTACATTCAAATGTACCACTTTAAATGTTTCAATGGAGATAATATTCAGAGATAAACCAACCATGGCTAATATATAAGTTGATATCAGATCATCTCTGCTGAATTGAACTGTGCATTGACTTATGAGTGCAATCCTTCTATTACACGACCCAGATCCAAACTTAGTCACATGATGCCTAACCCAAAGTTGAGGCGCATGTTTTCCCTATTTTGTTCGATGTTTCACTCTTCTCATGCTTTTTGACCATGACTTTTTAGTTTGATTTTGTTTATGTTTGGCCAAATTACTTGTTGATTCGCACAATCAGTGCTCTAATTGATGTTCCAGACACTTGCCATTTACAACAATGCATCATAGATTGGATACATATAATGTATATCATAAGAGAAATAATTCTTCCTCCGAAACATACCGACCCAAAAATCTTCCGAAGTATGAAATTTCAAAATATTAGAATTGAAAAAATGTTTTATCTAAAGTTTTCCACAAGTTATTAACCATTTCGGAGGATGAATCCGAGGAATGTTTCGGAATATATAGGATTCCTTACATCAAAATGTTTGGTCATCATTCATAAGATAACGTATATCATAGTGGACCCCACCTTTGAGGAACACTAGGCCTAAACCAGGATTGAAATAGAAATTTGTGGGTTAGGAGTAAGGACAAAGAACTCGTTTAAGAAGTCAGTGTTATGCTGCAAAAGTGCAAATTGCAATACAAAACTTGCTTTCTTGAAGTTTAGGGAAAGGCTTATGAGGCCCCTATAGCTAATAAAGCCCAATAGATGTGCCTGCGGATTAATCTATTTTAAAAATTAATTATTGTTCTATATTTCTTTAAAAGAGTTATTGAAAGAAAAAGTGATTATTTTTTCTTAGAAAACTTTCTCAGAGAGGCACTCAAACTTTAATTTAATTTAATTTCCATCTAGACAATTAAAGGAATATTGGCTTGAAATAATACTTTGTGAATAGAAATTAGTTCTGTGAGCATAAATTAATATTTAGTTATCAATTTTAAAATAAGTTTTTTTTTTGAAACTAAGTCATTTTCCCATATCAAAAGTAAGTTCCTAGTTTTCCAACACTGCTATTATGTTTCATTGAATTTGTCTTTTATTGTATTTATTTATTTTTCTTTTTTCTTTAGCATCCTCCCACTTTACCCGCCAAAAAATCTTTGATAGTGTCTAATAATTGCTGTAAAAAAAAGTGTCTAATAATACTTTTTGTTTTGAGTTATTGCTATCTAATTAATGTTAATATCCAAGAGACGAAGAACTAGCAATGTATTATATTAATTCATGATTTCTGATTACATTTACTCATCATTTATGATTTACTTTTAGTCTGTTTTAAAACCTCCCATTCCCAGCAAACCATATCTTTCCTTTCAACATTTTAAATAACAGGAAAAGATTAAACAAATTATCAATTTTAACTCAACATATATAATCAATTTTTTTTGTGGTAGAGACAAAGGAATTAAAGACTGCATATGCTATTCTTAGGTCACATCAACCTAAAGTTCCATTTACAACAAGAAGATTGTTTAATAAAGTGTAGAAGAGGATTGTTAATAATACATCCTCTCCCACATTTTTTATAACACAATTCTCAACTATCGATTAAAATTTATTAAAAATTATAAAATTATAAGAAATATTTATTAAAAAAAATGTTAGATTCACAAAATTTGGTAATTTTTTTTTCTTTATAAATTTGAACCAATAAAAAAGAATATATTAAAAAAATGTTAGAGTATCATTAGTATTTTCTAACTTTATAATATATTTCTCATCATTAAGGTAAAATCAACTTTGCAGCCAAACAGCCCAAACATATTCTAAAACCCTAAATGAGAAAGTTGTATTTTGTGATTTTTGTAGGAAAGTAAAATCACATTTTTTTTTAATTCATGGAAATCGCACTGGGAGTAAAATTAATCACATTTATAAATATTAAAAAAGTCCTCTTAACTCAATATTTTATTACAATTACGTTTCAAATAAAAGTTTTTTTAAGTGTAAACTAGTTGAATTTCATTAGAAAACACTGAACAAGTAAAAAAAAATATTGTAATTCAAGCATAAATTGTCATATGAATGTATAATAACATTGTTGACTTTTGTAAAGATATAATTATTTTAAAAATTACACTGGAAATGATTTTTAAATATAATTTTTTTTGTGTGTATTAACATTACAAAAAATAAATAAAAATAATTTACTCAAATTTTCTTCTAAATAAAATCACTTTTCTAATTAAAATCTAATTTATTGAAAAACAGGCTTGTAATTTAAACACTCTAGGGGGGCTATAATGGAGTTATTTACAACGTTTTATCCAACTGATATTTTATTTATTTATTATATTCTAATATAATTTTTATAATATAAAAATATAATAATAATAATAATAATAATAATAATAATAATAATAATAATACTTCAAGGGGAAAATACATATACATAAATTTGCTAAAAAAATACAAAAACTAAAGTTAAATATTAAAATATTTATCTGGTAAATAATGTAGTTGTATTTCCATATATTCAACTATAATCAATTAATGACAGTGTCTGAACTTTTAATATTATGCCAAAAAAATATGACCTGGAAATGCATGTGCAACTGCTACTCTGCCTCTGACCTTGGACCTTCTTGTCGTACAAAATAAATACAAGATAATCTTTTTTATGTTTCCACTCTTTTTTTATATTATCTCTTCAAACATACATATGAACAACAGAGTTTTTTCATTCATATTCTAAAAACAGCTCATTATTTTATGGCACTGATTCGAATCATCAAATCACATAAGAAAGCAATAAAATATCATATTTCCTTAAAAAATTAAATACACGTTGAGTAGATTTTGACAAAGTTTAATTAACATATTCATTGTGCTCTGACATTGAAAATCTTCCAAGTATGTTGGATTCTAATGAAAAGTGTCACATGTTACTATTGTTAGTAGAAATGGTATCTTTTCTATTTCTTCATGGAGCAAAGGAATCAGTGGAATCCAATTCAACTATGGTGGGCGATGGAATCTGCAACTTCAAATTTTGTCCTTTGAATTAGAAAAATAGTTCGTGGAATGGAATTA